ATGCATGCATGCATGCAGATTTCTTGCATGTATGTTTGTACTAAGGTACCTCTGTATGTACTGATCTATGAGGCTGCATACGTGTGTGTGTGTGTGTGCGCAATCAATTCAAGGAATTTGCCGGGGAATGGTCGTTGTCGTGTCCAATGCATGTGATGGGACAAGCTCCAGGAGCGCCGCTTTAACATGGTTTTGAAAAGACATGCCGGGGCCAGACGTGCCTTGCACAGAGCACGGCCGTCCCCTCCTGCCACCGTCCAACTATCGCAGGCTCGGGCGATCAATGAAATGGATGCTGCAGCAGCGCGTGGAGATGTCGTGACATCTGCCCGCCACTTCAATCAGCTTCGACACACGCGTCTATCAAACTCCTCATTTCTATGGAATTTGATGTTAAAGGCATACGCCTGTGCTGGTGACCACAGAGGGGCACGGGAGCACCTATGTCAGATGCTAAGCTTCCAAGTCCATCCGACGCACCGTACATTCGGAAAGGTGATGAAAGCTGCAGCCAGACGCGGACTCCCTTCGGAGTCTGAGAGGGCTTGGCGGGAGTTTCTGCAGAGTCTGCGGGCTGCTAACTACGCGCCTTTGCAAGATCAAGATTTCCGGTTGAAGGTGAACATGATGGTGGATGCTGCTGCCAATGCCGGTGATGCGGAACGTGCTGTGTACTGGCTCCGCCAGCTAGGAGATGCTGCCGATTGCTGGAGTTATGCCGGTGTTTTGAAAGCCCATGCAAGCCAAAGTAATGCACCGGAGGCAGTCAGCTGTCTACAGGAGATGCGAAGCAGGCGTCTTACACCCGATTCAGTATGTTTTGTTGCTGCCATCACGGCGTGTGGTCGGAGCGGCGATGTTGATGGAGCACTCGATCTGCTTCAACAGATGGAGCGCGATAGTGACAGCTGCAAAGCACGGATCCAAGCAGACCTAGATGCTGCCAGTACTTCAGTAGTAAATGCTTTTGCGAAGTCGTCTAATGTTGTTGGCGCAGAGGAATGGTTAGAGAAGAGCAGGACGACGCCGACATTGCAGATGTATCATACTTTGCTTGACGCTGCGGGGCGTTCTGGGCTTCCACAGCGTGCAGAGCACTTCTTTCGCTGCATGCTTGCAGCAGGCCATCAGCCCTCTGCACAAAGCGCAGGTGCATTGATCGCAGCGGTTTTGGGTTCAGAGACCTCACTATCTGGTATCCGCCGAAAGTCCAAGACGCAGCTCGAAGTGTTGCAGAGTTTGAATCTCGGTCTTGAGAAATCCGCCCCGGTTCACTTGGCACTGACAGACGCTTTCTCACGGTGTTCCCTTTGGACTTCGGCTTTGAGCCAGCTGAGCACTATGGCCGGGGATGGATGTGCTCCATCTGTGCAGGCCTACACAGCAGCCATCACAGCTTGTGGCAGAGCTTTGCAGATATCCAAGATGAAGCACCTATTTGATGTCATCGCGGACTTGCGATTGCGCCGTGACGAGGTGGTTTACGGCTCGTGCATCCACGCTGCTGCGAGGTCCAGAGACCGATCGTTGGCCGAAGAGTTGCTTGCACAAATGCTCGGCGAGTGCCTGGAACCGAACCTGAGGACATTGCAGAGCCTGCGAAAGGTCATGTCGGTCGATGAATTTCAGCACAGAATTGCGCGTGCGAGCAGCAAAAAGCACCATCGCCCGTTCCCACCCACCTTAGACCCAGCCCTGCAAGTGGGTTGCTTTTTGGTCAGGCGATCACAGCTGAAGAAATCATGGGCGAGAAAGAAAGGCAAGCGTTGGCGGATTGTGCAGCTTGGGTTTGGGTTGCATGCACGACATGTAGTGGTGCACCGTTTAAGCGACATGTAGAACGCCGGGTGGAGCTAAAGCCAGTGCGGCTTGGGACTGTGCGTAGACCAGTCCGCTGTCCCAACGTCTGACTGTGCTCCCATCTGGTCTTCAGTGCTTTCGTTTGGAGCAACACAGCTCCCTTTGCCAGGATTGACATGAAGGTCTGCTGGAAGTACACACCGGCCATGGGTGAGTCGGGTCCTGCACCGCGGCATGTAGCAGAGGCCTTGAGCATTCGGAGCCTTGTGACGCTTTCCTGGATGCAGTTTGCTGGATGCACTCAGTATTCCCTCGACTCGGTGCGGAGGTGGGCACGCTCACAATGCTGGACCCGAATTCCATGAGCGAGTGTCTTGTAAGTGCTGACCTTTGAGACATCATGTGGTCATTGTGGTTCGTGAGAATTACTGTGTGCATCTGCATGACTCGCTTCAGGCCTGACCACGCTGGTGAAGAAGCAGATGACGCCATATGCACCGATGATATTATCGTTCAGGCAAAGGCCTCAATAACTCCATTGGCAATTTGCCGCGACGAAAGCTGGAAGCAAACACGCGGCTCCGGACCGTTGCCGTTTCGCATGGTTGTGGCAGTTGTGGCCTGTGCAAGCATCGATAAGGACTGCCACGGCTGAGACGGGAAAGCGATACGAGTCGCTCGAGGCCTTCATGCTTGCACTTCCTTGTTTTTGGCAAGCAGAGCCGCAAAGATTAAGACATGCTAGCACTCCGCAAGCAGCGGCATTCATGTGAAATTGATCTTCCAGGGCCGAATGCGCCTCAGGATTTATTTCGTCAGGACCACGTCTGAGTTCGCGACCGTTTGTTGAAGTTCTAACTGCTGCACCAGACACAGAGTTACAGTTCCAGGACAGTGGCATTGAGAGCCACGTTCACAGATGGTGCGATCATTGAAGACAATCAGGTGCAAGCTCTGGTGTTGTTTCACGTGCAGTTCGAGATGCTGCGTGTTCACTTTGGACACTCTGGGATGTCTTGGTTGGGCACCATAGGGAGAGCGTGACATGCAGGGGGAGGACGAGCTTAACGAGGCCCGACAGTGCGCCACCTGCAACTGTGTGCACTTCTGGGGCCACTGATCTCCTCCGTGCTTCAACTGATGTTCCTCGCTTCGAAGCAGAGGTACATCTGCGGCAAGCTTTTCCGGGAGGTGTGGTCGAGTGATGAGGAGCTGGGCTTCCCGATGCCCAGAGGCGACTAGGGGATTCCAGGGGCCGAGTCGTTTGCTTTGAGTTCCTTTGCTCTCCGGTTTCCGCTGCCTCTCCTTCACATTGCACTCCGGCTTGCTTGTTTCTAATGTTTCGATGCCTTACCTCCTCGCTTTCTGAAGACAAGAACTTGGGGTGCAGAGTTTAGATCTGCGATGGCGGGCTCGGGGTTTCGGGGTCGAGGCTCAATCTTTCAACCATTAGATGGTGTGCACTGGAGAAGCCTGGTTCCTTGCTGACTTTCCACTTGTTTCCAATACCAGCAGTCTCGTCCAAGCCTGCGGCCAGACGACAACCAGGAAAGCGGGCTGCAACAAAGGTAAAGCCAACCTGGCACCTGCGCGCCTGACACGATGTGCAACTTCGTTTGTTTGACAGCAACAAAGCACTCAACCTGTTTGCACCTCGGCATTTCTCTTTGGAGCCCTGCTTCAGGCTGCTACTATCGAACCTATGGCCAGACGCAGGACGTGACACATGAGCTTCTTCTGCGGGCATAGTCGGTGTGTGGGTGTTGGCGGATTAAGGTGGGGCGAGTGTGTCGGCAAAAGCACGCACGTAAAGCTGTGCAGGAGCTCAACATGCTATTCGACCGGAAGAATGGCCTCTCTCCGGGCAAGTACTACCAGGCCAGCCTAGAGGACACAATCGCCAGTGCTTGGACAAGTAAAGTTTAAGCTGCTGGGCAGGTTGTGCTTATGGGCGTGGCCATGGACGAGGCCAGATTTGGCATGCCCTTGCTCCGTGAGCAGTAATGGTCCTCCCTTTCCACAAAAACGTGGACTGGGCATTGTCTGTGCATCACTCTCTACAGGCGATCCGCGATGGGGAGTACGTGCACATCTTTACGACAGATGTAATGATCTAAGCTGTGGCGAAGACAGGAAAGGGAAGCCATCAAATGCAGCATTGGGTTCTGTCATGTAAGGATGTGGACCTTCACCCATACATTGCCTTGGAGCGCGGTATTGCAACGCTCTATAGATCACCACAGGACAGGTGACTGATGCATCCTTGCCTGTGTCGGTGCTGGTGTCGTGCTTTCGAATTGTGCTCCTGAGGACCCGGCTTATGGTTCGCAAGGTGTGAAGTTTGCCGAAACCGACGGTGTGAAGATTTCTAGCGGCTCGGGCACGGAGCTCCTTGTTGGCACGTAATGACCCTCTGATGCTTGTGGGGATGCTGCTCCTCTGCCTTGTCTTCCCGCTGCCCTTGGCTTGACCTGCCCACCTCAGGATGCTGGAGCTGGAGGGTGGCACGGAGCGCATCTTTGCTGTGGCTGTGCAGGGAATTTTCGATCCATAGCGTGTGTTTGGAAGTATGTGTTCCTTCTGCAGTGGACAGAACGACAAGGAACAAGAAAATATTATGCATATTATGCCATAGTTTGCCCGGTGACAGGATTTGCCTTTGCCATGCATGCAACTTTGGAACTGGATGAAGCAGCTTCTCGCGCGTGATCGGCCGCGAGGAGTTGAGACTTGAGCTCAAAGGCGATCCTTTGGGAGGTGGCATCTCCGCGTGCGGTGCTGTGGTTTTGGTGGGGCACGAGCCCCCAGTCGTTCATGGCAAAGCCACCACACTCAGGTCGGCAGTCTTGCGATTGTACCTGTGGCCTCTGACGCAGTGGAATGTTGCCAACGCCTGCACGGTCATGTGCATCGCTCACGACCAGGCCCCCTTCCTGTGCAAGACCTAAGTCCCCGAACCCGAAAAATCGCGCAGTCATGGAGGTCTCGGCACCCTGCGGGGCAGTTCAAGATTGCAAGGGTGACGCAGGGTCCTCGGAGGGCTGTTGGCTGCGGCTACGGTGTCAGACCGCTGTTGGCTGCCTGAATCACCTGAGGCGATCATCCCCAACTTCCAGCAAAACTTCCTGCGCATCGTGTTGCCATCTGCCATGGCAACGATGACAGAGGTGCTTTGTTTGTCCGGTTGCCCGTTTTTTTAAAAGAGGGCGGGGGTCGTCATGAGGCAACGTCTTGCTAGAAGCCTGTTTTCTGACCCCGTGCAGTTTATCAGCCACACGCTTGTCTTCCCGGATTTGGTGCTGCCCACCGGTGGTCGGGCGCTTAGAGCTGCCACTCCAAGCACGGTCACAGCCTGCCAAGCGTTGCGCACTAGGATTCTTCTCGACCCGGCTTGCCGCGCAAATCTCCAAGGCTGGAGACTACATTCATTACATTCTATTTGATGCTTCTTTGAATTGACCTCAAGACGTGCAAATTGAGTGTGGCTTGCGTCCCAAATCCCGACTCATGCGGCCTTTGCAGATCCATTTCGCGACTTTCGCACTCACTCCGAGCCACAGCCAATCCCGTAAGACTTACGTCCGGCTGCTACTTTGACTGTGGAGACACATTCTAGTCTAGTCGACAATGCCAGGCCGGACATGGCTGCAGACAAGTATCCCAACATTCTAAAGAAGATGTATGACCGTTCGTTCTGCCGGAGGTACAAAGGCACCAGTTGCTAATTCCTGCTTGTTCACAGCGTACCAACAGGGTCTGCTGAATCGGATCACTAGTCTTGCACCCTCTCATGTGCAAGCAGCTCTGATACATGTGGTAGAATAGAATAAACTTCATCGACGCGAGAAGCCCAGGAAATTGGTCCATTTAGGTGCGCTATGGCTTCTGGGCATCATGGTAGTCAGGTGGTCAGGTAGCCTTGGCGATGCCAGAAGATTAAGATGCTCGGGGTGGGCTCACAGATTCCCTTTCCTTATGCGAGGTACAAACAGTGACCAGGGCTGTCTCTTGCTTTTTGCTTCCTTCGCGGCATTTGGCTCAGCGTCGAACGGCAGAGCTCAAGCCACAAGCTTCGTCATGGCTGGCGTGCAGACAGTCCGGTTGGCGCCTGCCTTTATGGGCGAGCAGGCGACATATGGCCCCGGCTACCGCGGTGGCCTCGCACCACCACCAGTGGTGGCTGCAGTTTGTCCACGTTTTCGCTCCATGCCAGCTGGCACAGCTGCAGCAAACCTACCACAATACCTGGCCTCAACCCTTCCACTGGCCAACACACCAGTCCGCACATCCTGTCAACCCCACCCCGTGCTACTTCCCACCCACAGCATTCACACATCAACAATCTTATTGCCCTGCCTCTACTTCACAGCCGCTGCCACTTCACACCAAGCAGCCTTTCCCCCAGCAACGGCCGGCTTCACATGCACAGCCATCTCCAATCCAGCGGCCTCTTGCCACCACCACACGGGCATGCCCCCCAACTGGCCCAAATCCAATCCCACCATCCACGTTGACTCCTGCGCAACCTTCGTGGGCCGACCTGTCCGAGGAGCTCGCCCCGGCCAATCAGATGGAGGAGTTGCCCACTCTGCTTCCCAAGCCCAAGAAGGGTAATGGGAAGGGCAAGGGCAAGGGCAAGTCAAGCAAGAAGCCAAAAGGCAATGGCACGGGTTTCAAGCACAGCCATGGCTTCAATAATTCGTGGAGCTACGACTGCTACAGTTGGTATTGGCCCTGAGAGCAAAAGCTTCAGCAAGTTAGCAAGTTGCGTCACATGAACGACTTCTGCGCATGACTAAGTCAGTGCTGTTCTCACCTGAAGGACGTTCGGTTGTTCAGGGTTTCCCGTAGCGGATTTACTTCGTCGACAAACCAACCTGCTGTCTGTGGACGAGATGTGGGGTGACAAAGCCTCCCCCGAACGGATTTGATCGATCGATGAACGACCTGCTGTTTGCATAGAAAACACGGAAATGGCAGACATGTGCGTTGTAGGTCAGGCTGAACTTACCCTATGCCATTGCGTGCAGTTGCCGCAAATCGAGGCGGACGACACAAAGCCTCACTACACAGTCAGCAGCGGAGATTACATCTACAAGATGCATGATGAAGGTGTCATTGCCCAAGCTTGCTAGAGATTTGATGCTGATGGGGGCTCAAAACAAGAGCGTGTGATTCCGAAGCTGCTTAGGTCGGTGTTGGCAAGCTCGTAGAGTTCTATGGGGATGGCGATCAAAGCCCATACCGCGGGGACCGCCGGGCCGTCGACTGATTCTCGAGATGCCTGGTACAGAATTGCACGCAGGATGACAGAAACATCCTCTATGCAAATCTGGTGCTGCCGTCCACTCTCTTCGCAGCAGTGCAGACCGGTGATGTGCTCCGGCAGCACCGATACGATGTTTGAGATTGCAGCTGACGGTGTTGGCGTGTGCTTTGCATTGGTTCTGTGATTGCTCAGGCTTACATGACGTTGACATTACCCACGGGGTACGAGTGTGTGCGTTTCCCAGCCATTCAGCTTCTGTCTATCGTTGTAGAAGACACAGTGTCGGCCGTCGTAATTCTTGGCAGGTTTATCAGAGCAAGCTCCGAGATTGCAGATGTTCGTTGCATTGCAAGGTGCGAACTCCAGACATCAACGGCGAGTCGCCATGGCGCGCGGAGGAAGCTTCCAATGCGGGGGACAGCACGCGCGGGTGAGCCTGTGCATCTTGCTAGGACGACTTGGGCGTCTTCCAGGGCAAGATTCCTCAGGGAACCGGCTCACCTGACGAAGGGGGCGGCACAAGGTGCGAGGAGAGGGTTGTTCCTAGATGGATGTTCCTCGAGTGCCCGGCTGGCCAGGGGTTGGTCAGTCAACGAAAACCAATGTGTGCCTGGCTCAATCCCATGGACATGCAAAAACTGCATTTTGCCCTTTTCGCACAGTCCCGAAGCGGACACCTTCGTGAGGTGTACACGCTGCGCCAGAATGCCGTTATCTATGCCGGCAGCTCCTTGTATATACGGGAGTGGCTCTTAGAAAGTTTGGGCAGACTGTTGTGCATGAGGGCTATTTCAGCAAAGAGAGTCGCCAAGGTCACTGCCAACAACCCTGACACTGCACTGCAGCGGATGGACCCAACGAACCGTTGGCAGGTGCTTGTTGATGGAGTCCCCGAGAAGTGGCAACAGCAGACGCCCGACCAGGTGTCTCTGACCAGTAAAGGCTACCACCAGTATGAGGTCACGTTCCCTCCAGTTTCTTGGCCTTACATGAGACGTTCATGCAAGCATCGACAGGAACAGAAGCATTTAAGTCAGGTGACCTTCAACACCGTGATGCAAAACTTCAGCTCGAACACGGCCGCAGCCCTTGACCGTGCTTGCAGCAGAATCAACGAGGTTTGCGCTGAACACGGCTTATTCGCTGCTGGCATCGGAGGCAGTGCTGGGAAAGATCACGCAGCCTCTGATAGTTCCATCGAACTGGATGTACTCCGTGGGAAGCTTAGGCTTGACACACTTCGCCACTGCTACCTTTCAGTTTGTGTTGTTGCCGAGGAGGGAGGAGTTGTCATGGCACAGGGCTTCCTGAACATCTTCTTCCGGTCGGAGCAGGCTCACGTGAAGTGCCGTGCGTTGATGCAGGCATGTCCACATTCTGTGGTTTCGCTGGCATGTGCTACCTCACACCGCTGCAGGGCACGGGTGTGGAGTCATCGGTGCATGTGGAAGCACGCAGCTCGTGGACGCGACTTCAGTTACCATGGCTGCGCATTAGGCCTGGCTTCTCAGGCGCCAGCAGGCTTCTCTTTCTCACCGAACCCTTGCCGAGTTCAAGACCTGGAGGAGCTCCGATTCCCATGGTCGCGTCGTGTATAATTTGCTTTGCGCTTGCTCTGAGCCTGCTCTGCTGCAGGACGTGTATTATTCCACCCCAGGGCAGATGGGATCACCGACGCACAGCTTACCAGGTAGGACCTTGTCAACTCATGCAGAGCTGTGTGGCTTCATTGAGGGACGCAGCAGCGCTTGCCATGCAGGCATCGTCTCATGCGATCACCGGAGCTACCCCTACAACCATGCTGCTGTTAAGCTGACGGGTGCCATCTTGCCCGGGTCACGGGAGATTTTTTGCCTGTGCCAAAACATGGCGATGGAGTACCGCTAGAGCTGCAGCTGCAACAGGTCGAATTCCAATTATGCATTTGGACTCTGGGTCTCAAACGCAGAGGCCGCGCAAGCATGCGCAAGCAACTGCCACAGAATCTAGACCAGATTGTCTTGCTGCCGGCAGAGCCCTGGCCTTCTCGGCCTTCTTGGCAGGTGTATGCGGAGTCACAGAGAACCGGCTGGAGGTGCGGTACCTGTCCTGTCCAATGACTCGAGCTGTCTGGATATTTGCCCCTGCCGAGGATATACACGTTAGACATGAACGACTTCAAGGTGGTCGCGGCCTTGAACCAGAATCCGGCATCATCTTGGGCCGAACGAAGCTGAACTGTAGGATGGGACGCCAATGCCGATTCCTGCATTGGCACACACAGCGACGAGTCTGGCGATGCCGGACGCAATGCTGAGTTTTGGACTCTACCGGGTGGCTCTCTCGCAAGCGAAGCGCAAGATAGTGCTTGACCGTTTCGTTGGCGTGAGCAGAACGAAGAAGACCGTCGTGCCAACCATCCCAGGCACAGATCAACACACAGACGACCCTAAACGTGCAGGCCTTCTCGTGACGAGTGCATGTTCATGGGGACTTGCAAGTCAGCCTTCATCGGCATTCGCCGTTGTGTGCTTCGCAGGTGTCCATTGAAAGCAGTGTTCCGTATACAATGCTGCGTGCCGAGAGCATCCTCGAATTTCATCATTTCATCAGGTCTCTGGTGAGGGAGGGGTAGTCAGCATCCTCTTGAAGACCCAGGTCGATGCAGAGAACATGGGTGACGGTCCTTCCTTTGAGGGCCGGGGCTCCTGAGACCTCTGCAGGGCTGCGGTGACAAAAATACTCGGCTTCAGAAGGGAGGCAAAAAAGCGATAGTTAGATGTGGAAGTCGGACTTTGCAAGGTCGGAGAGCAGATCACCTCGACTCTGAGAGTGGGGGCCCCGTCGCTGGCCTTCGTGCAGGATTTGCATCCCAAATCCTGCAGCCTGTGCGAGGTAGCAGCACCCATGGGGTCAGCTTCCCAGTGTAGAAGAACTTGAAAGAAGATGCCGTCTTCAAATGATTTGGGCTGATCGCAGAGCGGTGAGGCTGCCGGAGTGCACGCTGTTCAATGCACCTGCCAGGTACGAGTGGGATTTCGCAAATTCCGAATTCCGTCACCTTGCTCCCTTCCCGAATACGCCTGAAGCCCAATAGCATGCTTGTTCATTCAAGCGACCAGCGCTAGTGAGCGCACTGTTGATTCCTGCAATGTGCAGCAACAGCAAAACAGATCAAAACAGTAAGGACGGAGAGCCTCTGGCTGATGGGTGCCACGGGAACGCTGCCAGGCAAGTTGGCAGAGATCAGAGATCACTGGCGGACCTTTCTCTGCAAGCGCAGAGGCCGATATCCGCAGCGGCAGGGAAACATCTTGTTGTGGGGCCAGGCCATTGCCTCAGCTGCTATGTAGCCGTTGCAATTTCCGCTTTTAATGCACAGTTACACTTGCAGAAGACCTTGCGCTTGCAGATTCGCAGATTGAGCTGGGCTGGTGGCGGTCCTCTGAAGGAACGCCTTTGTTCTCCGCAGGCGAGGATGTATTGGCCCAACGAGACTTACGGGTCATCCCCGCCACGATTGCTGTGCAGTATCCTTCATGTGCTTCCTTTAGCCGTGTGCTTGGCAGGTTTCAGACCTACATCCGCGTCCCCGACCGGTCGTGGCCTCAGCTTGGAGCCAGTGGTGGCAGACCGACCCCCGAACCTCAGGACTCCAAGCGCCGCTCCGAATTGGTTCATCTTCGAGTTTGGCTACGCGAGGGGCTCAGGATCAGAGGCCTCACATGCCCCAGAAATGTTCGGCTTTGGACTGGGTTGCGGCTTGGAGTAGCTCTTGAGTATGCGGGGCGAGCAGTTGGGGAAACACGATGTCACAAATCCGTCATGTGATGGCTGCGTTTCGCTTGGCTGACAGACGTCGGACAATGAGAGGTTCTGCACACTGCTGCGGCTGCGAGAGCAATTCACACCATGTCTGTCTCAGACGTTGTGACTAGCTTACGTAGAGAGTGGCGCAGCTGTTGTTTTGAGCGTCATTCGAGGCTGCAGCAACATTTTGACAAAGTGGGTTTAGGGTCTAAGAAGCTGTCATGAAGGGATGTCAGGGCTCCGCGGAGCTCATAAGGCTCAGAAGCGGCCATGTCGTAGACAGCGACGCCCAGCTTCCTCGTGATGCTGTAAGTTGGCGGTAAGGACTCCGTGCCCCGAATCTGCTGTCTTGCCGTCGCCACCACGGAGCACTGGGACGACCACGGCCTGGAGCACCTCCTGTGCTGGCTGGAGTTTGCAGAGCTGCTTCCATGTAGTGTCGTGTCGAAGCGATGGTGTTCCATCCTCTTGCCGGCTGGTCGTCCGACTGGCCTTCCCTGGAGACAGGCGTTGGTCTGGTTGTCCGGGTCCTGCTTTTCCGTGTGTGAGGTTCAAGACCAAGGACTAGTCGCAAGATGGCCTGGAATTGAAGTTTTCCTGCCTACTCGCGAGTTGTCGGACTCCCTGGTCGCGTTACCTCTCGGAGCGCGTCCCATCGCCGAGGTCTTGCCGATCCAGTCATGGCCAGGGATCGACTGCAGGTCGCTGATCTACCAAACCTTGAGCTGGCCGGTCTCAGCATACACGCATCCTGAGCGGTCAACCTCGAACAGCCGGTTTTTCTCCGCCGGAAAATGCCTGCCGCTCTGCCCTCTCTGTGCTGGAGTGGCTTTTTACCAGGGCTCAGGGTTCACACGTGCCGATATTGCGACAGGATGGCATGGCTTCCTTCTGTGTAGCCTTGGCCCATGCTCCGAACGGAGTCTTCTTCTCTCAACTCTTTTTGCAAACATGGGAGTTACTGAGGACATGGTCCCAAATATTGCGGTGCAACTTCGCCCTGCCAGCGGGGAGGAAGAAGAAGAAGCTCTAGTTGAGGATGCTACCGGAGATGTCGCGCCGGGGCTCGATGCCCGCGGTGAGATGGGGATGGAGATCATAGACAGCTTCTCCACTCTTTGGCGAGGTCCAAAGAGCAGCATGGCCCAAAACATCATCAGCATTGCGCTTCCCTGCAGCTTTCGTCTGCGAATAGCTGGCGTTTGCTTGGCCGAGCTTGGGATTATGGCTTTCTTTTGCGAGCAGGTGAACAAGACGGCCTGTACATCTCGGACCCGTGTGGGTCGATACTTAGACGATCAACCCGCGAGGATGCCTCGGGCGCATGTCTTCGGAACTCGTATGACAACTTCCTACGAAGCCTGGCCAGCTTGGCTACCTCCGAATAGCTTGAAATCCACCGAGGCTGACTCATCCGAGCCCTGCCCGTATTGTGGGGCGAGTGGATTTCTCTTGAACTCTGCAGTCCTGAGCGTCTTGTCGTGGGAGGCCGAGAAGACGGCCTTGGCTTTCCAGCCCGTAGAGGCGGAGCAAGCATTCCATGGAAGCCTTTGGGTTTGCAGTGGCCACTTGTGGGGATGGAGATCGCGTCGCGCGGGACTTCTCGTGACAAGCGAGTGAAAAGACTCTGTTGAAGAGAACCTTGGCTTCTGCGGCCAAAGATGCGCCAGACAGGAAAATTAGAAAGAAGCACCTCTGTGCACACACTTCAAAAGGCATGTTCCTCAGGATACTGTTGCAGTGCTGTGGTGCTTGGCCTAGGATGGCAACTCGCTGGCCACAAGGCATGCAGCTTCAGCGGCGGGCGGCTGAGAGCTTCCACATAACTAATGGAAGCATGGGGCCATGTGCACTTAGCAGAGGTTTAGCTGCTGGATGCCAAGGTGCCGGCTCCCTCGGTGCAGTCGTTGACCAACGCCGCCATGGAGTACAACACGAATGTGGAGGGGAAGGCGGCCAAGTTTTCCAGCAGGTCGAGGTCTTCAAAGACTTCCATGTCTCCTGAAGCACAACTGACAACGAAAAGACTACAAGCCATCGGGCAGACGAAACAGAGAATCGTTGGTGACGGAGAAGAGCACCAGTACATGCAGACACTCATTGACACCCTTTTTGCGCCGGTGTAGACCCTCAAGCACTGGAGCTTGGGGCGGTGGTTAGGGTTCGAGGCTTGCGAGATTTTTGTCTCGCGCCTGTTTGGGATCCATGGTTTCGGGATTTCTTCGGGTACCGACAGGCGCAAGCAGAGACAAGCCAGTACTGGGTTTGGACGTAGGGCTTCAGGGTTCAGGGCTTAGGGATGACTCATTCAGACTTCTCGGGGTCTTGCGTATCGACAGACAGGGAGAGTTCGGGCTTTAGTTTAGGTGTTTAGCGCTTTAGGGGTTTGGGGTTAAAGGTCAGGGACTTCGAGTTTGGGGTATCAGGGCTTTCAGGTGGTCAGGGTTTTGTGGTTCAGGCGGTTTACGCCAGACGGCTTAGGCAGGGTTAAATGGGTCTTTACTTTGAGTTTAGATTCCACTTTGTTTTCGGATCTGGTCAGTCAAGTGAAGCCGAGTGTTCAGAGTTCAGGGCTTAGTTTCTGGTTGTGAGATTGTCGTGTAATAGCACACTTGTGTGCGAAATGACAACCCATTGCTTTCATCAATCACCGATCGACTCCGTGGATGTACTTGAGTCGATCACTTCGAACTTGTTGCATTCCGTTGCCATTTTGATAAAAGCAATATGAGGATCGAATTGAATTTTTTCTTCTACTCTCTCCTCAAGTTACTGCAAAACTATGGCTACACGGCGAAACAACTCTTGGTTTGAGTTTCTCTGCGAGGGCAGTATCGGAGCCTTCTTTCACAAGCATCAAGTCCGCCGAGCATGCTTGCGCAGTTTCCCGAGGAGGTGAGGGATCCCGAAGTGATCTACTTGGCACGATCGAGAACACGAGTGTGCCCCCGTTACATCGAGTCCAGGAACTGTACCAATCGCACCAATTGCAGCCATAGCCACCCCGATTTCTCGAAGTGCAAGTGGGTGGTCCCCAATTTGATCTGCCACAAGTGGTTCCAGGGTGTATGAGCATTTGCGAGCTGTTGGAATCGACACGGTAACACCTTCGATGGGGCAATGCGAGCTGCAGCACGACTTCAGGAACAACTCCGAGGCGATCGGCTTTCGTTTGCATACGAGCCTCCGCAGGTGGCAAGTTACGACAGATAGGTCGTGCCGATGCTGCCGATTACATTCCCACTGCGATGGCAGATTTTCGTTTTCGAGAAATCCGAACAAGCTTCACCATGTACTACGACTACCAGACGTGGGATAGCTCCAAAAATGCGTTTCGTGACCGGGTCCCACACCGATCAGGTGCGATCGCTACTTCGATGGAAACGGACTCCGATGCATCCTCAGCCCCTCGGTTTGGAGCACCCCGATCCTCGTTCCGCCCAGGCGATGGAGAGGGTCGAGGGCAACCGAGTCCTACGACGAGAGCCATATCACCAGCCGAACGATGGATGGCTCCGCAGGCGAATACACCGGTCATCGTCGAGATCGATGAGGTGGCCCCAGCTACGCCTCCGAAGGCTAGTCCGATTAATCCAGTGACCCGATCTTCTCCGACAGGGCAGGAGCCAACGCGACCCTTCAACGAGACCATCAACACGAAGGAACCGTTCCACTCCTATGGCATATCCGAGTTCCGGAAGGATCCCCCGAGCGGGGAAGGCATGGAGTGTGCGATCCCCTTTGCGTCGAGTGTGCGCTCCAAAAGCGTCGAGTGTGCGTTCTCAGGTGTGTTTCGAAGCAGAAATGGTAGGCCGCATGCGCGACCGTGAGTCCGCGCCCACACCCACGTTGCCAAAGACCCCCACGCACAGGCGCGTGCAAGCACGCATGCACGCTACCCTGAGTCCCCCTAAACCCTAAACCCTAAACTCTAAACCCTGAAGCCTAAACCCTTGAACCCCCCAACCCTGAAACCCTACCACCCTGAAGCCCCAAAGCCTAAACCGTAATATTCTAAACCCCACAAGCCCTAAACCCTAAACCCTACGCCCTAAAGTGTAAACCCGAAACCCTAAACCCTAAAAGCCACAAAACCGTAAAATCTGAACGCAAAACCCTAAACCCTAAACCGCAAATCTTGAACCGTAAACCCAAAACCTAAAACCCTAAAACTTCAGCCCTAAACCCTAAAACCTTAAAGCTTGACAACCCTAAAACCCAAAGCCCTAAACCCAAAACCTTAAACCCTAAACTCTAGACCCTGAGCCCTAAACCCTAAAACCCTAAGTCCTAAACGAGCCCGAGACCCAAAACCCTGAACCCTAAAACCCTAAAGCCTGAACCCAAAACCCTAAACCCTAAAACCTGAACCCAAAACCCAAAACCGTAAACCTTAAGGCTCAAACCCTAAACCCTAAACCCATCACAGCCTGAACCCACGACCCTAAACCCTAAACCTTAAAACCCCAAAGCCGTAAAACCTGAACCTCTGTATCATAAAAAAATAAACCCTAATGAGATTCGTGGGCATTTAGCCGTCGGAATCCCCGTGGCCCCCCACATCTAATGAGATTCGTGAGGATGTATTCGCTGACCCCCCATATCTAATAAGATTCGTGGGCATTCAACCATCTGACCCCCCATATCTAATGAGATTCGTGGACATTTAACTGCCTGACCCCCTAAATCTAATGAGATTCGTGGGCATTTGACCGTGTGACCCTCCATATCTTATGAGATTCGTGGGCATTTAACCGTCTGACCCCTGTATCTAATGAGATTCGTGGGCATTTAACCGTGTGACCCTCCAAATCTCATGAGATTCGTGGGCATTTAATGCCGTGTCTAATGAGATTCGTGGGCCTCTAACCGTCCGACCCCCCTATCTAATGAGAGTCGTGGGCATTTAACGGTCTGACCCCCCATATCTAATGAGATTCGTGGGCATTTAACTGTGTGACCCCCCTATCTAATGAGATTCGTGGGCATTTAACGGTCTGACCTGACCCCACATATCTAATGAGATTCGTGGGCATTTAACTGTGTGACCCTCCATATCGAATGAGATTCGTGGGCATTTAACAGTCTGACCCCCCATATCTAATGAGATTCGTGGGCATTTAACCGTCTGACCCGCCACATCTAACGACATTCGTGGGCATTTAACTGTCTGACTTTCATGGCAAGCAGCATATACAATTTTTAGGGTTTAGCTGCTAGAGCAGCCACAGTGATTAGAAAGTGTATTATAGAGCGCACCAGACGGCAACTAACACATACAATTGTTAGGGTTGTTACAATCCAGCCGTAGTGTGTATTGTAAAGTCTATTATAAAGCACATCAGACGGCAACCAACACATGCATTTTTAGGGTTTAGCTGCAGCAGCTGTTTAACAACAAGTCTATTGTCGGTCACAGCAGACTGCAACCTGCACCGTTGTGTTAAAAAGCATCACACCTGTGGAGGAGACTGTTGTTGCCTGTCTTGTGGTGCTGATATTGTTATATTATTCCGAGTGAGCTAGAGGTATCATAATGTTGCACATGTCGAAGTGAAGCGTCGACATATTTATGAAATCTATTATAGAACACACCAGACGGCAACCGGTGCGTGCGAATTTAGGGTTTAGCTGGTAGAGCAGCTAAAGTGTTTATTGCAGAGTCTATTAAAGAGCACATCAGACGGCAACCAACACATAAAACTTTTAGGGTTTAGTTTAGTTGCCCAGCAGCTGTGGCAATGTTTATCACAAAGTCTATTATCTATTATAGAACACACCACACGGTAACCGACACCTACGAAATTTAGGGCTTAGCTGCTAAACATAAAGTTTATTGCCGATTGCAGCAGACGTACCATATGTGAAAATCCTACACCTGTAGGGGGAGTCTGTCGTTGCTTGTCTTGTGGTGCTGATATTGTTATCATCCCGAGTGAGCTAGAGGTATCACAACGTTGCTCATGTGATGCCCGCGAAGCGAAGGCGTCGATAGTGTCTGACATGGTTTGTGGTCGGTAATATACTGATGTTTAACAGTTTGGTGGCGTAGAACATGGCGGCCGGTGGGAGACATCAAAGCATAAATGGACGCTTGTGTGGAATAGGGGGCTGGTGGGCGACATTGAGTTACAATTGAACTAAAGAAATCAAGTTTTGTCTCGTAGTAAGTTATTGGACAGTCGAAGACGTGGCCGCCAAGCGATCGGCGATGGCGTTTTAAAACCATTTCGGTCATTGAGTAAACAGACTGTTAATCACAAATTGTATGGAGGGATACAGTAAACGGCAACCAGCACATACGGTTTTTAGGGTTTAGGTTTTTCAGCAGCTAGCACTGCTTTCAAAAAATTATTGAAGATACAGGGCAATCAGCACGGTTTCGTTTCTTCAGCAGCTACCGCTGCTCTCAAACATCATGTTGTCGTGGAATACAACAGACGGCAACCAGCACAAACGAATTTTAGGGTTTACACGACAACATGATCTCACATAGACGTGAATGATGAAGTCCAACTGTGAAGGTACTTCGTGGTTGTGAAGGAACGGACTTTTTGTTTTCCAATGTTATGGGATTCTTTGGGTGGATGGGTGTTATGTCTAAGCCGTGAGCGTAACTCTTCTATACAACTACTCGACCGGAGCTGCTGAACCCAAAACCTAAACCCTAAACCATACGCCCTAAACCCTAAACTCTAAAACTTAAATCCCAAAGCCTAAACCCTAAAACCGTAAAGCCTGAACCCAAAACCCTAAACCTTAAACTGTAAACCTTAAACCCTAAACCCTTAAAGCCTAAAGACTGAACCCACAACGCTAAACCCTAAACCCCAAACCCTAAACCCGAAACCCTAAACCCTAAGAAAACCCTAAAACGGTAAAGCCTGAACCCAAAACCCTAAAGCATAAACCCTAAACTCTAATCCCTACGCCTAAAACCTTGAAGCCTAAGTTGTAAACCCCAAAGCCCGAAAACCCTAAACCCTAAGCCCTAAACCTTAAACCATAAGACTTAAACCCCCAAGCCCTCAAATTTGAGGAGTGCGCAAAGGATGCAACAAGAGTGCGGCTGGATGCTGATTTCAGAATGCGCACCGGATGCAAATCGGAGTGCGCACTGGAGCGCCTTGCCCCCCGACCTACCACTTTGCGAACTACATTTTCGACGATGACACCATTGTCATGACACAGAACGATTTCCTCCGAATCATGGCCTTGTGTTACATCCGCCTCCGAGTGGCCCAACAGTTTCCTGGATGTGGACCCCGACCACCTCGAGTTGCCCAAAGGTCGCCGCCGAGACGCTCGCCGAGATGAGTGACATCCCGGCGATCGGTGTCTCCGACTCGGCTAAACTGGCCTAGGCTAGAGTTTATCCGAGTACCCATATTGTTCCGCCAAGACAATGAAAGCTTCTGTTGTTGTGTAGCACACTACTGTGCGAAATGACAACCCATTGCATTCATCAATCACCGATCGACCCCGTGGATGTACTTGAGTCGATCACTTCGAACTTGTTGCATTCCGTTGCCATTTTGGTATAAGCTTCGAATCGAAGCCTTTCCTGTCCCACCTTCCCAAGTCCTCTTTAGGGGTTTCACTGTCCTCCGCCTTCATTCTGCGAGATCCGACCGAGAAACGGTCGGTCCTCCAAACGTCCAAAGAACATTTCTGTATGAAATACGGAAACTTTCGATAAACTTCTGTTGTCGGAGTTAGGGTTCACGGTTCACAAGATTTACGGCACGTCCTACAGTATTCCTGGACCGAATGCATGGTGCTCGAACCCGCCTTGCGCGCAAATTCTGTGTTCTGCTGCCCGAATCGGCCTCACTTTTACAAGTGCAACGCTACAAGTAAGTAGGAATGTTTCCCGATGCTGTGGCAGGTGAATCCGATCATTTTCCAGATCCAGACCATCAGTCAGGCAAGACTTCATGGGCTCGAAATCCTAGGGGAACGCACAAATTGCCCCGGGCAGATACCGGCGGGCGGTGGCCTTTTCATCGAGGGCCCGCTCGGCTTCGAGTTCCCCAATCCCTGCACTCCAGAGGCCTGGTTCCGGGTCCCGATCTTCACGTGACTTGAAGCCCTCGGCGCCCGCCAGGTGGCCCCAGCTGCTCGCGGGGCGACATATCAGGTCGAGCCGATGGCAGGAAGGGTGTTGAGGTGGGCCTTTCGCATGGCGCCGAAATTTGCAAAGTGCAACCTGTCGCAGTCTGCCAATGGAAGTGGCATGCAGCTTTCAGCAGACGACTGGCCCGACTGGCCGGAGCATCATCAGGCCGACACTGAGCTTCATTGGCTGGTGGCTGTGTTTTGTTGCAACATTCAGGTTAACTGCTGGTGCATCCGGCATCATGCCGAGCCCCGAGCTGTTGCACATGATCGCGTTGAGGGAAGCCGTGATGGTGCCAACGTGTGCAAGTCTGTCAGGCCCGGTCTTTACCGTTTCCAGCTGCTCGGGAAAAACCCCGCGACCGTGCTTTGACAGCACCACGGGGGGTTGGCAGGGGAAGCAGAAGTGCTTTGTAACATTGTATTGATGCGTGGCTCACCATCCTGAGGCAGTCGCCAATTCCGTCGACAACACAAAGCTGCCCATTTGCACAGAGTTGGTCGGTTTGGTTGCAGATCATACCGCAGCTCAGGCCTTGCATGATGCAATTCTGCTGGGACTTCCACTCCCTTCAGGTGCTCAGCAAGTTGTTGTCATGTTGGGCAGACGGCTCACCGCGTGGAGCATCTCTTCTCTACATGTGTGGTATATAGCTGGAGCTACTAGCTTGACTCAGTTGCAGGTAATTGGCAATGTCAACACCAAGCTGGACTCAAGCATTAGCATCCCTTCATTCGACATCAATGTGAAGATGGTCGAGGTTCCTGCGGTCAGGTGACATGTGTCAGACTGGTTCACCAGAAACGTGCTGTGTTTCTTGAGGCCCTCATACCTGAGCTGACCAGAGAACAGCAGGCCCCGCCACAAGAGCAAACATAACACACACACACACATA